TGAAACGTACCATTTTCTCCAGAGGCAAAACAAGTATTAACATGAACTCATAAAATCTATTTTCCAGTTTTACTTATTGAAATGTTACTGTTCATAGTCACAAACAATAAGAAAGACTAGTAATAACTACACCTTTAAATTACAATTAAAACATGCTGTATTTACTCAAATACAAGACGAGCCTCTTCTGGCCTCCTCTCCTCCCCTCCCCGCCATTAAATCACCATGGGAAAGAACCTCCCCACCATCTTACATTTGCATACAAAGAAATCAGATTAAATACACTACCTTTGAACTGCTGCTAAAAGTAACTGCATGCTGAGTAATGGAAACCAACTATAAACTTAATTATATGCAGCCAGCACTGAGCATGACTATAAAAACACATGGCCCGCATTGGGCAAACATGCTGATGGGAACCTTGTGTGTGCGTGCATGACCCTTAAAAAATGGGCAGTTATTCCCTCAGGATGGAATGAGGACTGAGTCAAGAAGTACTCCAATACCAGGCCAGCACTTATAGCATGCATCCACACATGCAAGCACATGCGTGTGCAGCAGCTTAAATAAGAAGCCATGCAAATTTAAGCCAGGGCTTTTTGCCTCAGCGCACGCACTCGACATGCGCTTTGTTGTGAAGCAAATTGTGCCACTTGGGGCAAAATAATCCTGCCTGACTCCTCCCAGATCTGCAGCCAGGGGGAGCTAGAGCCCAGAGCCAGCACCTGTGCTGTCCCCAGCAGTATAAAAAGGTGCCCTGTCCTGGCCCCAGCAGTATAAAAAGCTGCCCTGGCAAGTAGCTCACAGCTACTCACTCTCAGCAGCTTCTGGGGCCCAGCCAATTGGTAACTGGGGACACTACCCCTTGTGCCAGCTAGACTGCTGAAGCAGCCCTGAGAATTCCTTGCACTCTCTACCCACTGCAGATGTCTGGCAGTGCGGACTGCTGCCTGGCTGTGACCTGCTGCGCACCTGCCAGACTCAGATGGGGACTGCACAGCCAGTAGAGGCATCTGCCCCTCTGGGACAGCTGCCAGTGGGCTGCAGCTTCAGAGTTGGCCTCTGTGTGGCATTACTGCCACGTGTGCCCCCTGCCCGGTCATCTGGGCAGCTATTGCCCGGAAGATGTTCTGAGTGTGGTGCCCTGCTTTTAACTGTCAAAGCATGTCCTCCTTACCACATTTGGCCAGGAGGTCAGCCACAGCCAGATGGGTCCAAGGTGCCAGCTCTGAGCAGGCAGGGTTCTGCCACTGGCCTCCCTAGGAGGAATTCTGGTGTTCCCTGTTGGAAAACTGAAAAATCCCTGATAAAAAAAATCCCAAAGTCACTCTCTAAAATACCTCCAAATCCATGTTCCTCCACAAAGCAAGTCTCTTATCATAATAATAAAGTCAACTCTACATACAGGTTTCATGAATTCATGAATACGTGAATATATATCTTGCTGTCCTCCCACAGGGGGTTCAGCCTCCACACAAGAGCTATGGCCCCCCCAACAGGGGCAAATGTCCCCCGCAGGGGCTACCACCCCTGTGCAAGGCCCACATGCCCCACCCCAGCCCCC